ATGCTGGACCGCCGCGCCGCGCACTCGTCGCGGCCCATGGACCTGGGCAGGCGCTGCGTCGAGTTCGGGCCTCCGCTCGGGGTTCCGAGGTCGTTGTACGAGGGGGTCGTCGAGGAGCTGTTCGTGAAGCGAGGGCTGGTGTCGCCCGGCGGTGCGAGCCCCGCAGAGTCCGCGAGCATCGATTACTTGGCGATCAACGAGTACACGGGCGGCGGCGGCATCGAGAGCCACGTGGACACGCACACGGACTGCGAGCAGATACTCAGCCTCAGCCTCCTGGAAGATTGCGTCATGGAGCTGCGGAGGGCCCCTGTGGCCGAAGAGGTCTCGGAGGTTGATAGACCTCCTACCCCGACGCGTCGATGAAGGAATGGGCCGTCTTCGGTTCGCGAGAGGGCGTCACGGCCGTTTTTTTTGCGGGCCCAGGCCCGTCGGTTTCGGTCCCAGGCCGTTTTCACTCAGAGCGTGAATTACCTACCTCGCTTTCGCTTCCAGGCAAAACCAAGCCATACCACGCGCCTCCTCGTCAAGCGGCCTGACCAGTACGGGCTGCAATTTGGCCTCGCTTGGTATCTCCTGGAAGCGAGGGTGGTCAAAAGCGAGGTAGGTTTGTTTGCCCCCTATTCACTACAGGGAGGTTTACTACAGGGAGGTTTGTCCCCCGCCGAAGAGGTCACGCAGCCGCCGCGAGGGCCGGCGGAGCTCCGGCTGCTGCTGCCGAGGGCCTCGCTCCTCGTGATGCTCGGGCCGGGCGAAAGGGGGGGATTGGGAAGGGGGGGGAGTACGAAATTTGCTGCATGCAGCTGGTTCCGGCCTCACCAAGGGGCCCATTCCTCGATACACAGCCGCCTCCGGCGCCGGGAGGCGCCGGGAAAATCAGCTACGTGAGCCGATTCTCAAGCCCCCCCTTTGCTATCCCCCCTTTCGCCCGACCCGAGATGCGGGAGGAGGCGCGGTGGAGCTGGGCGCACGGCATCCCCTTCGGGGGCCACCACGAGTTCTGCGGTGCCGGAGAGGCCTCGAGGCCTGGGGCCGAGCACAGGGGAACGAACAATGGCATAGACATAGACTTGGTATCGCTCGGACGGGTGCACTTTTCCTCGGCGGGGGTCATTTTGAAGGAGCATCCTGGAGCATCCTGCGAAGAAACCACGCACGACACCGAACAAAGCACAGGGAATGGACGTCCGAGCGACGGGGACTACAAACGCGAAGGTCCGCGCGGATTTCTCGGCGCCAGGGCCCCTTGGCGGCGCTTCCGGCGCCGCCCCTGGCGCGCTCCGCGCGCCGGGGAGGGGGTTCCAGCGCGGACCCAAGCAGTCCGCCCAGACCTACGAGTTTTTGCTTGGCATTGCTCGGACGTGTGCATCTTTCCTTCAGCGAGGACCATCGAAGAGCATCCTTGATCATTTGGCGAAAAAACCACACACGAAACCGGAAAAAGCACAGGGAATGGACGTCCGAGCGATGGCCAGTTTTGTGTGTATGCCATTCTTCCTTCCCCTTTACAGCAGGGCGGCGACGGCGCAGGCCTCCCCCGCAGGATCGGGCCCCGCCGGCGCAGGCTCTCACTGACGTTCCTGCTGCACCCGCCGGCGGCGCCGGGCCCCTGAGCAGAGGAGAGAGGGCCGTGGCCTGCGCGGTGGCCGTGGTGCTCCGGCGCCGCAGGCGGGGCCCTGCCAGCAGGTCGAGCACGTGCGGAGGTCGAGGAGGAACGGATTGCGGAAGCAGAGGTTCGGGTCTCTCAGATGGGTCGGGGGTGGACAGAACCCCCAACAGTGACACGTCGATTAGTGAATTGTCAGTTTTCGGTTCTCGAGAGGGCGCCGTGGCCGTTATTTTCCAGGCTTGCGCCCGCCAGGTTTGGGCCTCAGGTCGTTTTCATTAAACCACGTTTTACTAAAGGGGCGTCTGTCCATCCCCGAATGGGGTCGGAGCAGATGGGGTCGGAGGATCGCGCCGCATCGCCGATGCATCGCCGATGCGGCTCGATGTAGGGCCCGATGTGCTTCACGTCGACGTCGCCGACGTCGGCGATGCATCGCCGATGTATCGGCGATGCGGCGCGATCCTCCGACCACATCTACTCCGACCCCATCTAGGAGACCTATGATAGACTCTCGAAGGTCCGCGCTGATTTCTTGGATCTGCGCTGGAACCCCCGGCGGCGCCTCTGGCCCCGCCGCTGACGCGCTCCGAGCGCCAGGGAGGGGCTTCCAGCGCAGATCCCAGAAATCAGCGCAGACCTTTGAAAATGTATGTTTCTGTAGTTGCGTTTTCTTCTATGAGGGCACTTGCTTGAAAGGAAAAGTCATGCAGTGAGGAGGACACCGTGGAGATCCCGACTCCCGACCCCCGCGCTCACGCGGAGGGCCTCCAGTCACGCAGCGCCTCGAGGCCATCTTGGACCGCCTCCGCGGAGAAAGGGGCGATCTCGCGAGCAAGCGTGCTCGTCCGAGGCAGATAATGAAGCTGATGGCCCGGCTTGGCGAGGGTTGTTGGGCAATGTTGGATTTCAAAACTTTGGAGGGCCCTCTGGGCGTTCTCCGCGGTTCTCTTGAGCCCGCTTGGAGATCGGAGAGTGTTCAAGGGGCTTCTCTTGGTTGATTAAGGCACTCTTGGGGGTTATAATATGTCGGGACTTCTCAGGCGTTTCATCCAGCCTTGTGAGGCGGCCTGTTGAGCAACGCTGGAGGATGCTGACTGTTTGAAGCCCTCGAGGGCCACTTGGGCGCGTTCCTGGGTCCTCTTGGGCCCTTTTGAGGTGTCAGAGTGGCCTCTCAGGGACCACCTGGGGGAGGCTCAGGAGCTGTTTGGGGGCCCAGGGGGGTCTTGGGGCGTTGTGGATATTTGGGGTTCATGTGAGGGCATCCTGGCCAATGCCAAGCCGTCCCAAGTCATCTTGGGGCCGTGCGGGGATCTCTTTGGGCCGTCTTGAGGCCCTATCGGGGCGGCCTTGGCCAGTCTTGCAGTGTTTTCTCCCCCAGGCGTTGTTGGGCCGGCTCGGGACACTCTGAATTGTTCCAGAAGATATCTTCTGGAGGAATCTGTGGGAACCGAACAAGCTTGCAAGTACATTGGTTCTTGTATGATGTGGGGTGTCGAAGGCCTCTGGGGCAATCATCTTGAGGCATCCAGTGGTCCCTATTGGCCGCTCTGAATCTTCGTCGGGCATCTTGGGCCATCCTGGACCGCCTCCGCGGCCTCTCCGAGAACCCTCCCGAACCACCCTTGAAGCCTCTGGAGGTCGACGCAACCGCCGAAGCCCTCGACGCGTGCCCGGGGCCCCAGGGCTGAATATGACGTCGGGGGAGGATGGGGAAATTCTTAGACAGCGGGCTGGCATCGGGCCTAGGGACGGGGTCGCCGCTTGCCTCATGTATGTAGTGCACGTTTCGCCTTCGCGGGTTAACATGACTTCGAGAGGGCTTCCGAGGCCTCCTCGAGTGTTCAAGAGGGCTCCAAGAGAACAGCCCCCTGAGAACCCCCGCAGTGGCTCAAGAAGGACTCCGGTGGAGTCGATACGCCTCAAGATAACTTCTGGGCCTCCAAAGGGCTCCAATACATCCAGGGACGCCAGAGGGTCCCAGTGGGCCCCCAGCAGGCCTCTAGGCCAGCTCATGAAGGTCCCGAGGAGGCCCCAGAGGCTCCCACAGGACCCCTGCTTGGCATCGCTCGGACGTGTGCATTTTTCGAGGAGGATCCTTGATCACTTGGCGAAAAAACCACGCACGAAACCGAAAAAAGCACAGGGAATGGACGTCCGAGCGATGGCCAGCCTGACAGGCCCAGTCTTTCCCTCCCTGCGGGCGCCCTCGTCTTTCGAGTGCACGGCTCGGCCTCGGTGGATGGCCCTTCTGGTATCGGACGGTGCGGGCCCATGAGGAAGAGGAGGAGGGGGAGGAGGAGGAGGAGGAGGAGGAGGAGGAGGAGGAGGAGGACGAGGAGGAGGAGGAGGAGGAGGGGGACGAGGAGGAGGAGGAGGAGGGGGAGGAGGAGGAGGAGGAGGAGGAGACGAATGCATGTGGTTTTCGACAGTCGCATTTTGCGGCGGGCCTCGCGGATCGGGTGGCCGTGCTCCTGTACGTGGTTGGGCGCGTACGTCCTTCGTGGACTCGCTAGAAAGTCTAAGCATTCCGCCGCATGGGAATGTTGAAGACTGGATGAAAGATCTCAGGCGCCGGCGCAGCAAGGCCGTGCGGGGGGCCGGCGAACGTCGGCGGGCGAAGGGTTGTTGGTTGTTGCCTGCTCGGCTTGGGCGCGAGGCGGCTGGATACGATTCTCTCCTTCCTCCCTTTCCTCTTCCGTTTCCTTCCTTGCATCGAGCAAGCAAAAACGCCATAAGCATAAATTGTTGGCACTCCGCGCCAAGAGTTCATGCTTTTGCCCTTCTTTCTTCTTCTAGTGTATACAGTCAACGCGCACAGTAAGGATGAGCGACCTCCCCAAGGATACGCTTGCATCCTTCCCCTTCGGCACAGTCTTGGCCACTTTCGCTGGGCGCGCCCCGCTCGAAGAGTGTCGGCATGGCCTTCCAAGGCCCCTGCATCCGCACCCTGCATCCTTATGGTACGGGTTGATTGCACGCATACAGATTCCCCGAACAGTGCATGCACTTAGCGGCTGTTACTTCCCATCTAGGGAACCGGGCCCGCATGTTGCTTCGGCGGCCCTGCTCCCGTCCGTCGCCGGTCAGTCTTTCCTCGCAAAAGGCCCGTCCGCCGCCCCCGGCGGGCCCGATGCCACCAGTCGCCGCCGCCCTGCTGTACCCCCCCCCGTTGCATTGCAACCGCATTGCCTTGCAATCGCATTGCATTGCGCATTGCATTGCAGCAGTGATTTGCATTGCATTGCATTGCATTGCATTGCATTGCACTGCATCGGGTTGCATAGTTCTGCATTGCTCTGCATTGCGTCACATTGCTCTGCACTGCTTTGCATTGCACCGCATCGCCTTACATCGTTTTGTTTCGCAGTGTGTCGCATTGCTGTACATTACGTTGCATTGCATTGCTTTACATTGTGTTGTATTGCCGTGTCTTGCGCTGCATTGATATGTTTTCCTTTGCATTGCTCTGAATTGCGTCGTATGAACTTGCATTGCATTGCATGACGTTGCATTGCTTTGCATGGCATTACATTGTTTTGCGTTGTTGCACATTGCGTTGCATTGGATTGCATTGTGGTGCGCTGCTGTGCATTGTTATGCATTGGGTTAAGTTGTATTGATATGCGCTGCATCGCATTGCGTTGCTTTGCATTGCGTTGCACTGCTGTGCATTGCTTTGCGCCACATGCATTGCACCACATTGATTGCACCACCTAGGTTGAGCTGCATACCACCTAGATTGTAAGGCATAGGCTGCAATAAATTACAACTTGGGGTCAACCCTGGGCAACATATGTTTATATCGGAGGTTGGGGGGTGAGATCGCAGTGAAACGGAGACCCCCCACCGGGAAATCGGTTTCGGTTTCGTGTTCGTGTCGTGCGTGCGGGCGAGGCGAAGTTGCGCGTGATCCTCCTGTAGCTAGGCCGAAGTAGGAGCGAAAGTCCGCTCCCGTCCGCCGGTGGCTGGGATGTGTCCCAGTTGGGCCGGGCGGTGTCCCGGGTGTCCCCGGTGTTAGTAAGCGAAAGTTCGTTTCCCGTCCGCCGGTGGCCGCGAGGTGTCCCAGTTGGGCCGGGCGGTGTCCCTCGTGTGCCGGGTGTCCCGGGCGTCCCGGCGCTAATGCATGTCGCTAATTTAATAATTCATTTTGTTCGGCGCCTGCGGCGGGCTTTCTTATCCAATCCAGCTTATCTTATCCAAGCCATCTTGTCCCATCTGATCTTATCCCGCCCAATCTAATCCACCCAACCCAGTCCATCAATTCATTTGTTTCTGCGCCTGCGGCGGGCCAATCCAATCCATCTTACCTTACCCAATACATTCTGATAATCCAACCCATCTTATCATATCTAATCCATCTTACCCTATCAAATCCAATCCACCCAACCCAATCCATCAATTCATTTTTGTCGGCGCCTGCGGTGGGCTTTCTTATCCAATCCAGCTTATCTTATCTAATACCTCTTGTCCAATACAGTCCATCTGATCTTATCCAACCCATCTTGTCCCATGATAATTTATCCCACCCAATCCAACACATCCAGAGAGAAAGAGAGAGATGAGATCAAGGTGACAGGCTCGAGATCAGTCAGGGTGGGCATTTGATCTCAATCCCCCCCAACCTCCTTATCGCCCGCAGGGCGGTCGTGTAGGTACAAGATATGTGCGTATACATACACATGACTATGTATGCATATGTGCTCACCAATGCTCCTCGGTTCGCATCTTCCGCCGTCACTCCTCGCCGTCGAACCTCGATTCCGGGCCACGAAACGTGTGAGGGGTGCGCCAAAGCGGGGTGGCATGCAGGCGCAGCCATTGGGGCCGTAGGTGGAGCTCCCTATGGGGCCACGGAGCGTACGAGGGTTGCGCCAACGTGGGGTGACGGCGCCATGTTGGCGCAACCATTGAGGCCTAATGTGGGGCTCTTTCTGGAACCACGAAACGTGTCAGGGGTTGCGCCAAAACTGTGGTGGTTGCGGCATGTGGGCGCAACCATCGGGGCCTTGAGTGGAGCCCCTCATGAGGCCGCGAAACGTTTGATGATTGCGCCAAAGTGAAGTGGCGACGGCATGCGGGCGCAACCACTGGGGCCGTAGGTGGCGCCCCCTTATCGGGCCACGAAACGTGTGAGGGGTGCGCCAAAGTGGGTTGGTGACGGCATGCGGGCGCAACGATTGGTGCTTTAGATGGAGCTCCTTATGGGGCTATGAAGCGTATGCGGGATGCGCCGAAGTGGGGTGGCAGCGGCATGCGGGCGTATTGGAGCCTTAGGTGGAGCTCTGTATTGGGTCACGGAACGTTTGATGGCTGCGCCAAAGTGGGGTGGCAGCGGCATGCGGGCGCAACCGCTGGAGCTTCAGGTGGAGCTCCTTATGGGGCCACGGAACGCGTGAGGGGTGCGCCAAAGTGAGGTGGCGGCGGCATGCGGGCGCAACCACTGGTGCCTCAGGCGGGCCCCTTATGGGGCCACCGAGCGTGTGAGGAGTGCTCCAAAGTGGCCAGCGGTGGCATGCGGGCGCAACGATTGGTGCTTTAGATGGAGCTCCCTATGGGGCCATGAAGCGTGTGCGGGATGCGCCGAAGTGGGGTGGCGGCGGCATGCGGGCGCAACCGCTGGAGCCTCAGGTGGAGCCTTGTTTTCGGGGCCACAAAACGTGTGAGGGGTGCGCCAAAGTGAGGTGGCGGCGGCATGCGGGCGCAACCACTGGTGCCTCAGCCGGGCGTGTGAGGAGTGCGCCAAAGTGGTTAGCGGCGGCATGCGGGCGCAACGATTGGTGCTTTAGATGGAGCTCCCTATGGGGCTATGAAGCGTGTGCGGGATGCGCCGAAGTGGGGTGGCAGCGGCATGCGGGCGTAACC